AAATATTAGACTGTTATATGCATAGCTAATGTTACTAATTACATTCTCCCTCCAAACTAGAGAAAACCAAATGGATTTTTAAAAGATTCAAAGAAAACCAAATGGATTTAAAGGAGATTTAAAGAAGACCAAGTGGATTGAAAGAAAACCAAGTGGATTTAAAGGGGATTTAAAGAAAACTAAATGGATTTAAAGCAGATTTAAAGAAAACCAAATGGATTTAAAGATTTAAAGAAAACCAAATGGATTTAAAGAAGATTCAAAGAAAGCTAAATGGATTTAAAGAAGATTTAAAGAAAACCAAAAGGATTTAAAGGAGATTCAAAGAAAACCAAATTGATTTAAAGAAAACCAAGTGGATTTAAAGAAGACCAAGTGGATTTAAAGGAGATTCACAGAAAACCAAGTGGATTTTAAAGGAGATCTAAAGAAAACTAAATGGATTTAAAGCAGATTTAAAGAAAACCAAGTGGATTTAAAGAAAATCAAGAGGATTTAAAGAAAATCAAGAGGATTTAAAGAAAACCAAGTGGATTTAAAGGAGATTTAAAGAAAACTAAATGGATTTAAAGCAGATTTAAAGAAAACCAAGAGGATTTAAAGCAGATTTAAAGAAAAACAAGTGGATTCAAAGAAAACCAAATGGATTTAAAGGAGATTTAAAGAAGACCAAGTGGATTTAAAGGAGATTCAAAGAAAACCAAATTGATTTAAAGAAAACCAAGAGGATTTAAAGGAGATTTAAAGAAGACCAAGTGCATTTAAAGGAGATCTAAAGAAAACTAAATGGATTTAAAGAAGATTTAAAGAAAACCAAGAAGATTTAAAGGCGATTTAAAGAAGACCAAGTGGATTTAAAGATTTAAAGAAAACCAAGTGGATTTAAAGGAGATCTAAAGAAAACCAAGAGGATTTAAAGAAGATTTAAAGAAAACCAAATGGATTTAAAGGAGATCTAAAGAAAACCAAGAGGATTTAAAGAAGATTTAAAGAAAACCAAATGGATTTAAAGGAGATCTAAAGAAAACGAAATGGATTTAAAGAAAACCAAGGGGATTTAAAGGAGATTTAAAGAAAACCAAGTGGATTTAAAGCAAACCCAGAGGATTTCTGTCAGGCCAGGGGCTGTGGGAGCCGGGGCAGCAGGGCTGGGATCCCTGAGCCAGGATTCCCAGCAGGGCTGATCCAAACCCTGCCCAGGGCTGGGAAAAGCCCAGCCAGGAGCCCCCTCGGGGCTGGGAATTCAATCAGGAACATCCCCAGGGCTCCAGGAGAGCAGGGATTGAGAAATGCTGGGGTGCAGGGAGGGGGGGATCAGGGGCTGCTCTGGGAGGTTCCCATTCCCTGAGCTGCAATGGAGCAGCTCCAGGGAATGTGAGATTTATCCTGGGACATGAAAGGGAGGGAAATTGGAGCTGGACTGGATCCAAGGGAACGCTGG